GCCTTTAATCCCAGCACCCACACTAGTCAGCCATAGAGGCCAGGCGGCGGTGGTGTACGCCTTTAATACCAGCACTAGAGCGGATTATAAAGTGGGATGAGACAGGAACTTGCTCTCTTTCAGACTGAAGACATCAAAGAGGTAAGAGCTCTCCAGTGGCTTGGCTGCTCTGCTATTTTCATCTTCAGGTTGAATCCCAATATCTGTCTCTGGGTTTTATTATTCATGACACAAAGTACTACAAAGCCAGAGGAATTCTATATACTGTAATGGCAAGCATGGCATCTAAAGAGAGTGTTCTTACTTCTTTATATCTTTACATTAGTACACTCACCGTCAGTGTCTTCTCTTCCACCACAGGCCATGCTCTCAGATCAATGGTTTGCTTGAACCTTTAGCTTAAATCTTATACTATCTTCTGCTCTGGCCCAGTCTGCTGCCTACCTGCCAGTGGCCTCATCTGAAAAAGGTGTCCCACAGGTATGTCATAATCAGACGTGCCATAATCATAGCCTTATTGGGTAGGTAGCCACAGCAACCTTAAAGTTACAGTTGATCCTTTAGTTCCCACAAGAGCAAGTCAAAGCGAAGTTAAATCCCTGGCCATAAACCACAAATAACCCAAACACCTTAAAAGAGTCACATGGAAGGCAACAAAATCTAGGTAGACAACAATGATGTGAATGAAACTGGAGGTGGGGGCTATAGAGAAGGCTCAGCAGTTAAAAATCTGCACTGCTTCCAACTGCAGCTCCTGACAACTCAGCTCACAACTATCCAGACCTGAGAGAACAGATATTTCTGACCTGCTTAGATATGTGAACACACACACACACACACACACACACACACACACACTAAATACATAAATACATCTCAAACATTACAAGCTCTTGTCATTGCTCCTGGTCACCTTGCAGAGCTTGACAGTAAGACCCTATTACTGAAAACAGCATATACTGGTATCACAGAACATGGGGCAATCAAGCTGTATTGACTTCATCTTTACTGGCTATCTTTCATAGTGCTGGAAGGTACTATGTATATTACCAGGTGAGAAATGGAATCATCACTCCTACCCAGCAGTGAACCCTGTGAGCTGTAGTAGTGACCAGCCTGGCAAGATATGCCCATTGGTACAATAGAAACAAAAACGTCGCAGGAGTAACTGTGCTAGTTTGAATGAGAATGGTCCCCATAGGTTCATCTGTCTTGTATGTCAAGTGTCATCGGTCTCCAGTTGGTGGAAGTATTTGGGAAGGACTAGAAGGTGTGGCCTTGTTAGAGCTGTGTCACTGAGGGAAGGCTTTGAGGTTTCAAAAGACTTGCACTGTCTAAATTACTATACTATTGTTGGGACGAAGCACTGTGATCAAGGCAACTTATAAAAGAAAGCATTTAATTGGGCTTAACACTTTCAGAAAGTTAGAGTCCATGATAGTAGAACAAAGACATGACAGCAGGAGCAGCTGAGAGTTCACATCTTGATCTGAAAGGAGGAGGCAGAGAGCACACTGAGAATGGCTACAGTATTTTGAAAACTCATTCTCATTGAAACCACTACATTCAACTCCCTGTCCGCTGTAGGCTCATGGCTATATCTTTTTTTGGTTGTTTGTTTTTGTTTTTCGAGACAGAGTTTCTCTGTAGCTTTGAAGCCTGTCCTGGAACTAGCTCTGTAGACCAGGCTGGCCTCAAACTCACAGAGATCTGCCTGCCTCTGCCTTCCGAGTGCTAAATAAAAAAAGATTTATTTTATTTTATCTTATTTTATTTTATTTTATGTGTGTGTGTGTGTGAAGAGGACATTAGACCCCTTGGAGCTGAAGTTACAGGTAAGTGAACTGCCAGACTTGGTTGGTGGAAACTGAACTGTTCTTTGCAAGAACAGCGAATGCTCTTAATCACTAAGTCATTTCTTCAGTTTCTATCTCTCCTAAAACAAAATTACTTCATTTTTAAGTGTGTGTGTGTGTGTGTGTGTGTGTGTGTGTGTGTGTGTCACATCCCTGTGAATGCCCTGTGAGCCGAGCGCTTGGAGTTTTCTGGAGCTGGAGTTACAGGAGGTTGTGAAGCTGCATGAGGTGCCTGCTAAGAAGTCAACTGGGGTCTCCTGGAAGAGCAGCAAGTGCTTCTAACCACTTAGCCATCTCTCTAGCTCTGTTTTGCTATATTTCCCATACTTTTTAGCTTTGGATGATTGAAAGGATGCAGTATCTTGGAAGGGATACTCAGTGATGGAAAATGAGATGGTTTAATATTGTTGCAGTTTTTATAATGCTGCCTAGCATGTAGTTAGTGCCATGTAGGTGTTTTAAAAACAATACCATCTCTCAATGCATCGTATTATGATTGTTAGAATATCCTTAAGCCTTGGGAAGAAAACGAATCCTCGGGAGTGCACTTCGCAAGACATGTACATGCATATTAGAGAAATGACTAGGAATCACAGAGGTCAGAGTACAAATTTGGAGTGAAATAATGTGAAAATCCCTTTCTCTTGACTATTAGTCTAAAAACTGATACTTCAGTCTCCAAACGATTGGCTCTTTTCGAAATACGGCGCCAGAGTTCCCGGACCAATGCCACGCAGGAAGATTTTGGGCCCCCCTGGAAACGCCCCTCCCCTTTTAAGGCGGATCGCGGGAGAAGCTCTTACGCGTGCGTCTTACCCGCTGGTCCATTGGAGCGGCTGCCAAGCGCATGCGCAACGCCCAATGGACGGCAAGATGCGGAAGAGCTGGCCCCGTGGAGGCTCCCATTTCTGAAGCGTGGGAGGCAAAAGAAGCGGCAGATCGTAGAATTCAGTTTGCACTCCAGCGGGTCTCGCAGGTCATTAGAACCAATAAGAGAAAGAAGCAGCGCCGTGGTGGCGCGGAGAGCCGACCCCTTTTCTGAGTCCTCCAGGCGGGCGGGGGCCAGGGAGCAAAAGGCGCCATCCCTGCGCTGAGGGGCCCTGGGGGCCGGGTCCCGGAGCATGGCGGACTGGACGGAGACCCTGAGCATGTGGAGGTGGAGCTGCCGAGGCCGTCTGGCCAGCTGTCAAGTCCTCATTGCTAGCGCTGCAAAGGCGGCCACAACAACTGTAGCCGAGCCGCGCTTGCGGTCTTAGGCGGGAAAAATGACAGCATGAGTTCTGCCCACTGCCTAGTTTCCTCCCTTTTCTTCTTTTGTGCTTTCCTCTTCCACACATCCCGTCCTCCTCCTTTCCCATCCCTGTCCTCTTCTCCCTGACCTTTGTGCTCTTTTCGCACTTCTGTCCTCTTCCATTTATCCTATGCACTGCGTTTCCATCTATTCTTTATCAACCTCTGTGCCTCTTCTCCCGTCTTTGTCTTTCCTCCATCCTTTTTTTTCATCCTATCCCCCCTCCCAACAGCACAAGCTCTCCATCCTCCTCCGCCCCCCACCCACCCCCACATCCTGCCTCATCTGCATCCTCCTCTCCCACTTTTCTCCGCCCTCGCGCCCAAGCCTCCGCCCATTAGCCCCCGCCCCCAGCTGCCAGTCCCCAGCAGCTCAGTCCTGCAGTGAGTCCATAGCAAAGCACCAGGAGCTGAGCACTGCTGGCTGTGCCGGCTAGCAAGTCTCCGGATGGCTCAGGAGAAAATGGAGCTGGATTTTGAGGCTGACACATCTGATGGGGGCACCCTGAGACGGGCCAGCAGTGCTCCCCTGATCCATGTGCTCAGGTGAGCTGAACTGGGGAGGACGGAGTGTGGGGTTCAGAGATTTGTCCCTAGGCAAGAAGTCTTCCTTCCCGAAAGTGGCAGTTCGAGTTCATCTGGACTCCAAACTGAGGGGGTTGAGGTCTTCTTTTCTTCACAGTGGCTTGGCTCCCTAGATGGAGGGAAAGTTTGACCTCACACTTTGGCCACGTCTAAGAAAGGGGCCCTTTCTACCTGGGGGCCATGTTGTCCAGTTCTGAAAAAGAATGTAGGAGCCTGCCTCTGCTGACAGGTTGCTTGCCCTGGCTAATTTCCATCAGGGCAAGTCAAGCTGAACCCCCCCCCCCCCCCGAATTAGGCTTGTAACTTGACACCTGTGTCTAAGAGCTGCTGTTTCTATGCCGAGTTTAGGAACCCTGGCATTAACAGAGGTTTGCGTTAAGAAATCACAGTTTATCTAATAACTTGGGATTACATGGTGCACTTCTATCTTATTAAGTGATTTGGATTTGTTACAGTGTTTTCAGTTTTTAAAGCTGCCTGAAATGCGTTTCAGTGCCTAAGAAGAGAAAAAAGATGGTTTGTGGCTTAGGTCTGTAAACACTGGTTTGAGAAAATAATGGGGGGGAAAATCACTCCTTTAATTTTAGTGGCAGGATGTTGTCTCTTGCAAACAAGGAATTTAAAGTGAAATTGTGTGATAATGAGGGCTGGGTGGCTCACCTAGTGAAGCTATCACACTTCACTTTCGTGAGTAGGCGACCCCCTCATAGAGGGCGTGAATACAGCACACAGGAGCAATATTTGCCCACAACAGTTTTTCAAGCGCAGCTGAAGCCTTGATAATGCTTTGCTACCTATTGAACTGATTATAACATCTGTATTTTGCAGAGGGGTGAGTATTTTTTCCCTAGATCTAAATATGATTTTGAAATGGAGGGAATGACAAAGTGACTGTTGCATTTGATGTTGTCCTTGGCATCAGCAAATAATGTTTGGATGTTTAAGAGGAAACTGTCTGTTTTGTCTCATCTTCCACCCCACCTTCTCTCTCCTTATCTTGTGAAAGTCTGGTAAGCAAGCAATTGCTAGGGCTCTGGGCTGTCCCACTGACCTGCATTTAGACAATTAAGGGAGAAAATCCCACTGTTTCGAGAACCACAATTTAAGTAATTACTTGATAGCATGATGTGACAGACAAGGGGAAAAGAGACCAGGCCTGGTCTCGATTGTCACTAGCTAGCTATACTGAGTGAGTTATTTCTTTTCGCATCTGTTTTCTCATTTTAAAACGAGGATAGCTGAAATAGGTATTGTCAGTGGTCTCTTAGAGCCCAGTACAGTTCAGTTTTGAAAATCCTTGAGTTCCTATCATGGCAGAACAGACTGCTAGGCACTTCAGGGATATCATCCAAAGACGAATAAAGCGCCTCGCCTGAGACACTTAATAACCATTTACACTTATTTTCTATTTATTTCCATTTTTCCCTTTTCTCCTTTTGTTGTGATGCTGGAGAACCTTTTTTTCCTAAATAGAAGGTAAACTGTGAGCTCTGTATGTAGCTGTTTAACAGTGTCAGTCTGTTAACGTGTTGGGGGGCCATGATTTAATCCACATGGACATACAGATATACAAATGTACTGGAATGGTAGTGTAGCTCAGGGTAGAGCTTTTGATGGGGATATGCAAGGTTCTTGCTTCTGTCTCTAGCCCTTCATTTAAAAAAAATAAAAAGAAAGTTTTTCCAACTGTGGTGGTATACACTTGAGCCCTGGAGTTCAAGACCAGCATGAACAACAGCAAAACCATGTCTTTAAAAAGCAAGGCGTTGTCTCAAGAAGCTGTCACCTCCCAGTTTCTTTAAGTTTGGAGTCAGGAATGGTTGCCTTATGTTTGTGGAATGAGGAGAAGGTTGTGCTGTGCCTTCACGGAAGCAAGGCTCCTGAGATAGGTGTGGAAGAAGAGGATGAATTTTTGACAGATGATGGCAGGGTGTGTGAGGTCAAAGGGGAAACATGAGCAAAAAAAGGAAGAAAAAAAAAAGCAAACCTCTTCAGTTATCTCTATTCACTTGGACCTCGGGATCCAGAGGCAGAACAGTAGAACTGGTGCATGGGGCAGAAATGTTAGGACTTCGCTCTTAAGAACAGGGCTCCCTGGTTCTTCTCAGGTGGTAACACAGGCAAAACAGTAAGTAATCCTCATGGTTCTCTGGGGTAGAGAGATGAGCTGCTCACATCTGACAGGAACTGGTTTGGGGGTGTAGTTCTGACCTGAAGCAGCTGGAATGAGCCAGTCTGGAGCTCCGCCCTCCACCTCTCAGAGCTGTCCCCCAACCACTGAGGAGATCAGTATCTAGCAGAAGCATAAGCAGAGGCAGCAGCAGCACTCAAGCCTGGCCTGCCAAGAGGCTGGTAAGGAGGTCCTCGTCTCTAGGAAATGATGAGCCACTGAAGATTTCATTGTTAATTGCGGATTGGAGGGTATTGAGCTCAGCTGACGGATAGCTTCCTTTAGTAGGCGCTAATCCTTTTATTTTTTTACTTTTCAGTGACCTTTCACAGGTTTTTGAGCCATATCCACTTAGAACTCGGAGGAACAGTGCGACAATTATGAGCCATCATAGCTTGGTAAGTATCAAAGTAAGTATGTGCAGTGATTTAGATGGGAGGGAATACTTTCAAATATAGCTCTTTCTGGGAAATTATGTGCTGTGCACATTTTTTTTCAGAAAACAAAAGATTTATTTTACCCATCTTGTTTACTAATTTTGCAATAGTGGCCATTCAGCTTTTGGTATATACACACAAGGGTTGGGGGTGGGACTTAAAAAAAATCGCCTTCCTTGCTGTAGGACTTTGTATTTGTAAAAATCATTCTTTGTTATTTATTTCTACTTGCATCACAGTCGTGAGGTAAATCAGGAGTAAGTTCCAAATATAGCTGAGAACCGTGGTCTTTATTTGTCCTACGATGTAAAAAAAAAAAAAATCACCTAAATAGTGGCAGAATGTTTCTGACACTCATCTGTCAGATAACACTGGTTGTCTAAAATAAAGAACCCTGGAAAATCTGTGTCTATATTCCCAGAAGAGCAGACGAGTGTGGATTTTTCTCTGGCAGAGCTGTTGGGAATCACCGTATTCGATGGCTGCACTGGGGAAATGATGAAGAGGTTTTTATATAGTAGCACTTCACATGCAGAGCTCACTCTCTCGGCAGCTTTAGCCATCCGAGATGTGAGCACACGGGCCTCTAAATGGCTGAACTACATTTCCATAGTCTGTGCACAAAGGTTCATCCATTTATTTATAGGACAGCCTCTCTGACCCCTGAATCATCTAAAATTTATACACAATTATAATAAGCTTCCAACTCAGTGGTGTGGTAGAGGCAGCAAATCAGAAGGGGTGCATCTGGGTTAAAGGTCTGCTAATAGTCGCTAGCAGGGGAGGAGAGAGAAAGGCAGAAAAGCAGACAGGATTTTCCCCTTCCAATAGTTTGTGGTTTGGCACAAGAGCTAAGAGCCTGTTGATAGTCCCGAGGGTGTCACTAGTATAGAAGCATTTGGTGACGTTCTTAAGGATCCCTGGTCATTAACCTTTTCTTAATTTCCAGCAACATCTACCCTTTGATTGTATTTTACATGGTACAAAATCCTTTCACTCATTTAGTTCATGTAACAGTCTCCACAAAGTAGAAAAGAGACAAGACATGAGGTGGGATTTTTCCCAGTTATAGGCAGCAGCAACTGACTCATGACACAAGTGACTTGCTTAGGATCACACCGTAGTAGACGGCAGAGCTCGACACTGGACTAGAGAGCTTCCAGGGCCATTCTGTTTGGTTTAACCTGTTTGAGAAAGGGGACACTACAACACATTTTAGAAAGATTTCCACTGAACTGGGTAAAAATACTTAAAGGGGGGACGTTAGCTATCTAGAGGTTTGATTCGCTTCACCTACTTCCCTGACAGTACTTGAAAATATAACTACTTATTTTTGTTGGGTGTGTGAAAAATGTTCTTCCGTGTTATACAGCTATGCTCCTGATAAGAAAAGCATAGCAAAGACGGGGAAAACGAATTTGCCTCTCTGCACTTCACTTAGCTCTTTTATAAGAGGTGAAGATTCTTATCCACTCTAGTCTAGGCTCATCTGTCATTACTCCACGTCCTTTGCTCTGGCTGCCTCATTTTCTAAAGGACCATGGTAATTCACTGAGCCTTGTGCTCTCCATCAACCCCATCCTCCTCCTTTCTCGCGATTTTGCTCCTTCAGAACCTACTTTAATCCTTCTATCTCCTTTGTACACGTTCCCACACCATCATGATATT